TCGCATTTGCCAGGGGATACTCTATGAAAGGCGAGATATCAGCTGAATATTAACAGCAAAACCGGAAGAAATACAACAGTTGTAAAAAATGGATGCTATGTGCGTAAATCGTAACGAACATTCATTCTCCCATGAATGTGGCTAAAGCGAAGACCACAGCAACGTATGGAGGTCGCTTATCCGCTAGACAACTCAATGTAAAGGATGAATAAAATGTGATTGTTGGGAAAGCAAAATTACAACAAGTAATGAAACACAGTCCCTGGAAAGAGTTAACCAGAATGGAAGTCAAAATGGCAGGCTGCGTTTTCCGGATCAGGGTCACCATGTGTTGGGTGACGTCTAGGATGCTAGTCGAAAAATTAATGATACACAAGCGGTTTGTCAACTACAGGACAGACTAGATGTTGTAGGAACCAAATTGTGTTGTGCAGGCTACAAAAGTAAGAAAAGAATCAGTTGTTGTCAGAAACGGTGTAGCAAGGCGCTAACCGAAGCAGTTTTTAAAAGTGGAATTGCCGTTAATAAAACAAGTGGATGTTTTGAAGCTTAAAGCGACGGTACCATCCAAGGCTGCAAAATAAGCAAGTGTGTGGTCTCTGGTGCATTACAATAGCTCGTCACCATGGATAAGTTAATATCCAGAACGTTTTAGCTATCACTATACCTTACCTTGGCCAGCTGTGCGAAATTTCTTTTTTACCTGGCATCAAGGAAGCTTGTGCCGTGCCTCAAGGCGGGTGGACGGTAGTTCCAATGTTTTTGTATATGCGTTACTGTATGTGGCTACTATTTTATTTATTTGTTTGCCGGATTTATTGGAACTGTTCGTACCCAAAAATCGCCAGTGTGATAAATGCTGTGGTGCCGAAGCAACATCCAATGTCTTCGATTTGGCCAACCTTAAGGCCACTTGCTTTGGACCCACTAACCAAGAGATATGAGCCACAAAAACTTAAAGAGGTTAAGCATGTTATGCCCTAACATATAAAGCACAATATTCCTTAGCTTTTGAAAACGCTAGCTCTCAAAACCATAGTCGATGAGACACCACATATACAAACCTCAATGAATTGTACGCTTCGGAGCCATTCGCCTAGTTTTCTGACCCTCATTTGTATGTGCTTGGTGAGAGACCGCTGTAGTGTCTAAGCAGAGATGGCCCTATGTCTGTGGTTATATAACGAGTGCACGAACTCATAAATATCGCAGTATCTACCTTTGAACTATGCAGTATTGGTAGGCTGTTATGGGCTGACTACATTTTAAGCCGCTCTGACTAATGCATACAAGGCTGACCTCTGTAACTCCGCAGCTATAAGCGCAACCATCAGGCGTTAAAAAAAGTTGTGGCTTTGCAGCTTTAGCTTGCTTTGCAACGCTTAGTATTCTGGAGAAACCTGACGGCGAAGCCAAGTCACCTAGGACTTGTAAACATATCGAGACCTTTTGAGAATATATATAGCCTTCTTTTAAGGCTTCAGCGGGTTGCAGCGCAAGTTTCTCATACCCTTTCCATTTATCATCCCATATATTTTGAAAGTCTGCCTTATGACCAACCACGTCGCTGCTCAGGTCAGGTCAGGTCCCAAAGACGATATAGGTTCTCGATTAAGTAGAGTCCTGTTTCTTGTGCACTTAAGTGAAAAACAGCCCTCGCCAGCACATGGCGCGGATGTGGGCAGCGTTGGCTGGCGAAACGTCGCCATTAACGCAAAGGTCGTGCCGCCTCCAAGAAGGCTGCGAAGCCCCATGGGTAGCCCCGGTCGTGGCAGCGTTGATTTGTATCCAACGCAGTCTCGCCAAATTCCGTGCAATCACATCGCGTCCTTGAATGTCCTTGAGATCACGCATTGGCGGTCGCATCCTCCAGACGTGTTATCCTTAATCAGCTAACGCCTTAGCGTACGCCGATCGGTAGCTACGAAATATAATAGCTTAGTGCCATAGTACACCCGTAGTGCTAAGGTTAACTCTATCTAAAGCGTGCTCCACGTTGTGCTACGGCGGGTCGCTGTAACATATACGCCGGAGTAAATGAAATCGGTCAAAGGACTAGAGAAATGTGGCGAACTGCCCTACGAACATAAAAGTTAATGCGAAATGAATAATCAAAATACTGCGTACAAGTTACTGAGAAAAGCACCGCTGTTCTGACCATGTAATGCGGTCATTCAGCTGATTTTGAAACCTGGGTGAGGAATCGGCGGGTTGATGATTGATGTCCAGGGAAACGTCCTCAACATATGTTAGGCAGGTTCCTTCTGTAGGGTCTTTCATTGATCTGCGTTAAGTGCGGAAGAAATAAAGCGACAGAATGGCTCCCAGCATAATACAAGAGATTATGATTTCAGAGGAAACTTAGCTTCCAGTGAGTCTGGTAGTTTGGGTGTGTTGTAAACTAATAACTAAACCAACGCACGCTGGAAGGAGTTGTTCCTTGGATGAGTTGGTTATTAAGCAGAAATTCGCGGTTTACGCAGCCAACTGCATTGCCATGATAAAAGTAGCATCTACGAGTTAATTTCGTTCAGTTATCAAGCGAGGACAATAGAGCATGCACGAGGCAGGCCATCGCAGCTAAAATGGAGGTTGAACTGCGATAAGCGAGCCGATAAGGGTCAATGGAGCGAGCCTGGGCCAGCATGATTTCAAGCATGATTTTCTCAAGCACTTTAACAACAAAAGAGCTGAAACCGACAAGTCGCTAAGTATAGGATTCTTTTTGGCGCTGTTGTGAAGCTGACACTTTTTCAACCGTCCGCGATCCTGCGTTGCTGCATACCCTTCGTGTATACAGACGCTAGTGGTATTGCCAAATGTCAACAAATTTGTTAATTGCGATGGGAACTAACTTGCCTTGACCGATGACTTTACCGGCACTTAGGCGTTTTGGTAAATTATTCCCAACTGCAATGTCGAAGGGAGGTAAAGCCTTCACGGATCCCATTAACTGGGAACTTTAAGACTCTAAGTCTATGGTAGTATTGCATTTACATAACTCCCCATTTTATTCCTTTACACCTAATTGAAACAGAGTGCACCTCAATTATATCCACTAAGCTGTTGCATCATCCACCACATCTCCCGACTACTGCCGTTCCCAAGCGTAGACTGCATACACACATGGTCGGGTCGGCGTAGCTAATCCGCACCAGCACGAGACCTCGCTGAGATGCCGTCTTCTCCTTACTATGCTTTTGTTTCAGGTCGGCGCCATCGCTTCAGGTGGGGGAGAAGAACCTGTCAGCGCGGATGCGGTGTTTGCCAAGGACTGCAGATGTCAAAACGGATATTCAGATAACCAGAAAAGTGGTCGTGCTACTTAAATACATCCGGGTAAAAGACTAAAATAACACCTGTAGATCCAACAATTTCATGTTGTGGGCCGTTATTTTATACAGAGCATTGCCTTCACTAAGTGTAGAGAGCAATATTCTGCTGGGTCGGTTGCTGTAGCTAACGCGCGAAATTTTGATGATTGTATGTCCAAAACTGTCAATTGGAGCCAGATTGCGTGCAGAGAACCAAGTTGTATTATTAACGATGGTTAGCTCCAGGGTTGCAACTTAGTTGGCAAGTAAATGTACTATGTTCTGTAAGCCCACAGTGGTAAGAAAATGTTAGCAAATCAGTCGAAGTCTCCGGCGAAGCTACATAAAGGACGTTCCAGGTGTTCTATGACGGCTGCCATACCTTCGTATTAAAAGCCCGCTGTGAAAAGGTTAGGATAGGTGGGCGATGTATAAACGTTAGCCAGCGACGAGCAGCGTTAGCCACTCATAGAACTCGCGTTGCATTGTAAACCTGTCCAGTTTATCGACTGTGAAGAAAAACAGAATAGGTGTTTTGTTGCAATATACTAGGATGGATTAGTGAAAATAGGGACAACCCCAACTCTTTTTCGATACGTGGAAGGACGAACACACCGATGGTAAATGACATTTCCAAGAGATACGACAGAATGCTCCACTTCTGCATTGAGCCAGGTATTTACAATTTGTTGATGCCTAGTTGCGGAAAGTCCTTGAGAAACACTGTACTCGCTAATTTACCTAGAAATGCAATGAACGCTAAGCCACGCAGGCACGCTCAAATCGCTGTTTTTCATTCGAAGAGCGACCAACCATCCAGAAAGCTGTTTCCGTACAGTATTTTACAACTTTAAATTATTCGCTACTTGTTCTTATAACACGGCCGTTGGAACATGCCCAATTCACCTAAGTAGAAACCCAGATGAGTTCAAACTGTGGCACGAGTAGATTAACATTGCAAAAAAGCAATGAATAAAAACAATACATTATCACTCAACGTAACGATTGAGAAGGTGCGAGTTGACAAATTTCACAGAGAGCAATGGTGTAGCACGGCCAAATATGGGGGCCGTGTTGTCGCAGTTCTGTGGGCTGAAAATGCTGGTAAATTTGCGTTGCGTCAACATTACTTGGCGTCTCGATAAGTTGTTCTTCAGTGCGGCTGCCTGGCTTTGAATGTTTTACTGCATGACCGCGTTGACCTGCTGCGATATTTTAAAGATCTTTATTAATCGTTTTTTATTTCCGTCATAGAATTGACGATCTATAGCATCCACAGAGAAGCGAGACGGTACACTTGTTCAATTCGGCAGCTGCACCTGTACAATCATGGGGTGAAAAGATGAGGGTAGCATTTACCTGTTAGTGTAAAGTTTATTAATTTCTATGTTACCTAATAGTAAGAATTGTTTCTTAGCCTTACATTTTTATGCAAGTTGCTCAGCTTAATGGTCCTATTTATATCTAACTCATTTTCATTACTATTCAAAGCTTAGCTAGCTTAGCAGCTAGCCGTTGTGCATCGATATATACAAATTCACTTTTGTTAAAATACACCGTTTTCCATTTTAATATGCAATTAGCTGTACCGTTGGATCATCATTGCCAAAGCGCCACCTGTCCTCTGTGAGTGTTGGTTCACTTGTATCATGATCTATAATTTTCCTTCGATAATTGCATGGCTTCTTATAAAATAAGCAATGAGGTTTTCATTTTTTGCTTGACAGTCCAGTCCATTCCATTGAGGGCTTATCCAATTATCAATATTTGGACGCCAAATCAGGAGGACCAAACACTATGAGCCAACCAGAATTTGATTTATGTGGCTGCGTTTACACCAATGTTGATGATGCGTACCAGAAGACTCGTGTTACCGTGTGTACGCAATTGCATCATAGTTCGTTAGAAATACACTTTTTGGGCATTGTTAATTCGAACTGCATAACCCAAGCACGTTTCCTATGTGCTAATATCCACAATTCTTCAAACATGTATTCTGCAACCTCCGTGCAGTATCAAATTTTTGCTGACGTAAGGGGAACAAGTGCAGTTAAAGCAATGCACATTGCACCAGTAGAGACCTATATGTGGAACTCAAAATACGAGGTTGCCAACAATTTCCAAGCCAGAGTGTTACAGAAAGCAATGCTGTCCTGGATTCGTTCAAATGAACATAATATTACTAATATAGTGCGAATCGAGCAACAGCTCGTCTTGCCTTATACAGAAATCGTACGTTTGTCAACTGAAAGCAAAGTATTCTCCAACACAATGGGATTGCCGTTTATCTCTCGTATCCACAGTGACTTCATCCCCCGGAACAAAAGTCGACCTGTGGTGACGCGTCTGACATGTACGTTTCCGGTCGAAGTACAACGGATGCGTAGCCTTTATCTGGCTCCTGGATCTTTTAAAAGGTCCTTATTGTGGCAACGTGAGTGCTATGGACTAAAGCGATACAACTCACAACGGAAAAGAAACAGGTGGTATTTGTCGTCGCATCAAATAATGAAGAGTTTTCCACAGTCTCTATATACCGGACATACCCAGCGCGATCCACTGTTTTATCAACGGTTACATAAAAAGCTAGATATACACTACAGACCGACAAACAAGTACAATTTACTGCAGGTTAATATGTTTAATGTCTCTCATCCTATTGAAAAATTCTTTAACAATACTGACCACTGCCTTTCTAATTCGGAATTTGGAATGAATCACCTTGAAATCCCTCAGCTTGCCGTGGTGCGCAGAGCAGATGCTAACACTTGTGGACCAAGCGCACTACAAGCAGTGGAATCCGAAGAGGGGATTTCTAAACTAACCATTTATCATGCGAGCGCCACTGGGAGCCGGTACGTCGAAAAAGGGGCACGTTTTCTTAGCTTGCCACATCCCGGAGTGGAACAAAGCATAAAAGCTGATGTTTTATCACCGGAGTGCTGCCGATTAGATGACGCATCAATTTTTTCCTTCAAAGGTCCATTTGGTGGTCTTTTAAACCAAAACCAGCATTCCCTAATCTACGCGCATTCTAAGTTTCAAACTCTACCTTCGGGGATTAATATAGACCATATTTGCCATTGGTCTACAGTAATACTACATTTGGCACTCACCATTAGCTTTGAGTATAGCCTACTCGGCTTTTGTGGTATCTTCCCCAATTATGCTGCAAAACACCAAGAAATCGGGCTCGATGACACTTCTAATTCTAGAGGTCAACTTGAAAGGCGGTGCAACAATCGTTCACAAGCTGTTTTTCACATATCTTACTTTGGGTTTCTAATCAACAGTTTACCTTACTGTCTCACAAGTCTGCTCTACAATTTGGAAAGCCGGCCCCAACTTTACACAAGCAGAAAGAATTCTATCACAATAGAAGAAGCCGTGAGTGTGAAAGCATCAAAAACCAGACATATTTCTGCACAAGGAGAGTTGAAAACATGTTGGATTTCAACGACAAAACTAGTGACAAAACAATATTACGGATGTACGGTGGAGATCGATTTAGAAGATGTTTCCAAATTATCCTCAGAATGTCTGGAGGTTTGTAAAGGGTCAACCTAAGCTGATAGTATGTTCAAAGCTTTTAATGCGTTAGTAACTTAAACGGAACGTTTCGAAATTTCGAACATTCAAATGCCCTACAAAAGCTTTAGAAGAAGATTTTGCAAGCTATTCCAACAGTAGGAATTGTTGCATCAGCTTATGCCAATCAGGAGCACATAGATGAAGTAGGTGAATACTTTAGGGCATATTGTTTTATCGCATTTTTTATAGCATTTAGGAATTTAGTAAGCATACAGTATCGATGCGAAAAGTTACCAGTCTAATGTTACCTTGTTACAATCATAGCCTTGGAGCTTTTATATTTGTATACTAGTTTATGAACCATCGCTATCATAGATCTTTTAACACAAGTTCTCGAATGGTTACGTGATCAAGCGAGGATACCAGAATGCGAGCACAGTCAGCCAAAGCGTGCCATATCCTAGAGTACGCCAACGAGTGTAAATGTATGAAGCAAATGAAAGTATCGCTATACTGACTCGTCGAGTAGACTACTAGAAAGTGGCCATAGATATGCTAGATCTTTAGTAGACTGCGGTGAAGAGGTGAAACAAACTTGATCCTAAGTGAAAGGTAGGCTCAAAAGGTATGTTTAACTCTCGGGTCACCATTATGGAATTGCGATTAAACGAACAACGACCTATGCGTCCACGCAAGTCACCTCATTTTTAGTTAAATTTAATACTTTGCTTAGTAATTAAGAATAACGCATCCAATCCAAACATGTATCTTCCATTGGTCACTAATAGCCCGCTTTAATAGAACGGTCAATCTAGGTTGATAGACTTGCCGTGTCCGTCCAAATACTGTCGTATTCTGCTACTGTTGACTATAGAAAAGGCTTATAAGTGGCGGGAAAGATATTGTTGTTGGAGTGTACAGTTATTGCGGAGCTCCCATAGCTTCGCGAACCTTTCACAGTGTTCACCTTAACAATACTATCAAAATTCGGCCACTCACACTGCGCAACTATCACCTAAGCTTGTCACATTGAAACCGCTGTTATGTTTCAACACAAACTACACAGACCCCGCCTAGGATACCTCTGTGAATGCTGTAGCTGTCGAAAAATCTTGGGACCATCTTTCATTTCCGGGAAAGTGACCGGTAGGTCGTTGTTTAACAGTAGTAATGCCTTATTTTCCACAGCATCTTCATACAACGAAATACTGCAGACCTGCCTCATTCCACAGCTAGAGGCCAAAAGGGTACTGTGTACCGTTTGGTGGCAACAGCATGGTGAATCTGCACAGTATGCACAAACGGTACGTGATTATCTCAGCGAGACTTACGGTCATCGTTGGACCGGTCGGGAAGGACCACTAGAGTGGTCTGCCCGGTCACCGGATTTGAACCCCTTCGATTTCTTCCTATGAAGCAACTTGAATCGCAGAGTTTACAAAACCAAGCCCAATTCCCTTGTGGAGCTGAAACGGAGCAAGTAAACGAATGTTGCACGATCACATCACAGACATTGAAAAATGTGCTAGCCAACAGCATCCGGAGACTTCCGCACCGCAACCAAAACGCCGGTGGGCATTTTGCACATCTACTTCGGGGACCTTTATGACCGTTAAACTGCTTTTATGTATATATATGTAACCACTGTAACAAATGAATTAACCACTAACTTGATGCTGTGGCAAATAATGCCAATATTGCGTCGGGCCAGACTAAGTGCTGAGAGCCTTGTCTAAGATAAATAAAACGGTACCGTGAGCAAGTGCTACGCGGCGGAGGTGAAATTTTGGAGCACGATAGGTTTTCAGGTGAAGAGGAGTTCCAGGTAGTAGGACTTCCTTTTATAACGCAAGCAACCTAATAAAATGTAATGGTTTGTTGGAATGCGAGCTTTGAGGCCATTATTGTGTTGCGCCATCGACTGCGATGGCACCTATCGAACGTACATTGCTCAGGTCCAGGTTGGTCTGCTCCATTGTTGAGACAGTGATTCGGTAACCAAATGACATGAATAGCATTGACTTGCCTATTAAGCTGACTAAACTCAGTCTACCTATCGACGATCTCAATACGAGTCGGGCTGCTAGGCCGACCGAAGACGCACGCATCACCCATTTCCAACCACGCTACCGTGTGTTATCAACCTATCGTCCAACCCACTGTCTGCTAGACCTCAGTCCGTCCCTAGATGAGCGGTCACTTAGCGTAGGTCTGTGCAGCACTTCATGTGCATACACAACTAGGGTTAGAGCTATGGCAATGGTTTGCAGACGCACAAGTGTGTTTGTGCGTATGACCACGGAAAACGTTCTTGCACTGTTGGACGGCTGAAAAACTGGGATAGTTCTCGGTTAATCGTGTGTACGTACTTTGGGGCGTCGTTTCAATCTGCTACTGGTGATCATCTGACCACATTTATCAAGGGCACTGTACTTTAGCTTTTTATATCAAGCGCTTAGTTTACTTTAAGCTGATGAGTTATGCTTTTCTGCGGTTATATTTACTGTTTTGTGTAACAAATCCGTCACACGGAAGCAATCTCCAGAATTCCACGATGCTTTTTGTTTCTTGAAAAGAATAATTATGTGAAATAAATTAGTTCTTATTGCAAATCGATCTTGGATTTGGATTACTCACCGTCTGGTTGGATTGCGACATGTAATCTCTATTGTGACCTCGGTTCAGTTTGTAGACCTTGGTCATTCCGATCACAAAGACCGTATCCCAAGTGGAGGTGTTTCGGTGTTGCACCTCTCAACCCTGGCACCACCTAACGGATTTCGTCCTCTTTTGGACTCATCAGATGTAGCTAGGTTTAGCTGTGATGGAATTCAGGGCCTAGTGGTTAAAGATTGATGCCTTAATCACTATGGCTCTAAAGTCCGTGAGCAACGCTTGGCACACCTGCTTGGCAACTGCTATAAAATTCTAGTGGAATTTACCTCTGGAGGCAAGATCGATGGTGAAGGAAGGCTGTTCAAAATTTGCTATGGGCTTTCCGTTGACGGCAAGTAGATTTACTGTCCGTCTCCTGATCGAATTATTTGGACCTATTGGTATCTCGCTGACGTCTACCTCAGTGTCTACGAGGAACATGATCCCCGAGCTACGATCGACTGTCTTGAATAGATGCCTTGTCTTATTTTGGATGTGAACGTCAATTGTTAGTACTTGGCTGTCAACCTTTTCCAACTTAGTTGGTTGCCATAGATTGAGCGCTGTCTTTAGTCTTTATTAAGCTGTGGATCTGACATTGGTTAAGTTATTGTTCGGCATGGGTCCTTCTTTTTATGCGAATGTGTGAGGTTTACTGCAATTTCTAGCAGCGCCACCGGAACATGCGTGCTAACGGCAGCTAGAGCCTGGTATGGCAGGGATAACCAAGTCAAGTCAAAATAAGCTTTATGAACCCTAACAGTCAGATAAATAACACGAGCCTCTCTCGGCATCCTCACAACTCAGGCAATTACTCGAAGTCATAATACACATTCACTTAGTCTAAAACAATGGGAAGCCGTGTACTCTATTACACACAGAACGTCGCGCTGTCAGACTCTACTTGCACTGGTTAGAATTACGACGGGGTGGACTTTGTGCTGCTAATCTAAGCAAACATGAAGACATAGATTCCAGCAAGAATAGAAGGATATTACATATCGCGTAAAAATGTCAGTGATTAATAAGTCACCCAGGAGGGGTATGGTAAAATATGAAAATTAATGGAAGGGGAGCTACCAGTTTTGAGTTCGGACTGGTGCACCTAATAATTCGCACCAGGTACCAATATAATATTAATGCTGATAATGGTGATGATGACAATAATACTAAAATACCGCTGGCCATTGGGTTATTGCGCCGTTACGTACTCCAGTGCAGATTTTTCTAGTCCTTACTTGCCCAGTGAGTACAGGTTTTTTGCATGCCTCACCTTACAAGCCAACACAAAACGGCCATGACACATGATTTACACAAATTGATCTCCTTAATCATGAGTGGACCATTTATGATCATTTGCTTTCGAAGCGGACGTCACTCAATAGAATTGAGTCAACTCTCGCTAAGATGCATTGCTAAACGTAGAATTTTGAGGACATGCTTTTGCATTATTGGATTTATGGAAGAATCCTCTTTTTAAAACGTATGCTGTCAGCTATCACGGTCTTTCTGAGTCCCATATTTTAGAGAAACTTTTAAGAAGTACACTAGAACTGATTGAGGAAGCTGTGCTACCATGCAAGAAAAAGCTCGGATAGTGGTTATAATACCATCCCTGTTCGAGTGAAGGGACTTAAACTTTTGTTACTGACTGGAGCTCAAGCGTGAATGCTGCTTTTGGGGGCTTTTCCTTAACACAGCTTTACTATGCATTGCAAAAGCTACTTACAGACTAAAATTTTTTAAGACAAATGACTCTCAGTGAATAGATATCCATGGAATTCTATTTTATCTTGGTTAGACAAAAATATAAAGTTGGAACATGTAGGACTAGTTACTACTATTCCGAGACGATGCGCGGAATTAAGCGCGGATATCAGAAGGCAATTAGAGTCGGACACAGCGGACTGTATTCGATGGGCTACAACAAGAAACGGACGGATGAAGCGAGACGAGAGCGTACACGTGAGCGCGGGAACTTACAAGGCGGTTGTGTGTTGAGCCGGTTGTAAGATTAAAACAAGAAGGAGTAATGTACAATCGGTCAACAAGTAAATTGTACACGAACGATAAAAGTTATCTTTTTGGGCGCTACAGAGCTCCCCCTCTAGAAGGCTGAACATAGAAAGCCCTCGAAATCGAAAAGGAATGTTGAAACGTGGTTCGTAAGGCGAAATCTTGCCAAGTAAAACGGCGTGCATTCATGTAAATGGGGGTTCGTCGGAAGTCGGAGTCCGCTGTGCCGTTTATGATTTGTTATTTATTGAATGCAGGGCAGGGTGCATTTCGGCGAGCCGTTGGAGCGGGCTTGTCGGACGACAAAAAAACTGCCTAGCCCAGAAAAAGACCGACAGGACTTC